ATAATCATTACCACAATTCTTAGATATATATATGATGTTGAATAATCATTACCACAATTCTTAGATATATGATGTTATGTTGAGTTGGATATAAACTTTTAATTCTATTTTGTTGTTCTTTATACAAGGTGAATGGTTTTTTTTCCTTTTTTTTTTAAGGCTTCTACAGCATTTGAGAACTATTAATTGTGATTCAAATGGTTATATATATATATATAAAAAAAAAATAGGAATTAAATTAAAACTAATCAGTTCTAAGATTTATTTTAAACAAATAATCTAAATTTGAATTAACATATTTATATATAAAAAATAGGAATTGAGGATAACATGAAAAACATACTCATTTAACAACTAAATTAAACCTTAAAATTTTGATTTTTAAGTATCATAATTTAAAATACATATGATATATTTCTCTCAAAATCCATTTGATTCTCAACATCTTACCAAAGAACTTCCTCAATTAAAATTGAATTATTCTATATTGGACACTATCATAGACAAGATTATTGTGTCATGATTTTTGGTATTTCGTGATGATGATAGTGATTTATATGTTGATGTTAAATTAGTAGCAATATGGGGTCTATCTAACATGAATAATCATTGTCTAAATAATAATAATAATAATAATAAACCAAAATCATGATGGTATCATTTCATGTCGTTTATGGCATTTTCAATGGAGGTGGGATCAGTTCCTCTACTGTCTAGTCTACCTTGTTGGACTTGGTGCGAGTGGGTTATCATTGCCTCTGTCTGATCACCAAAATCTGTCGTTATACCAATCTGACCTGCGAGCCTTTGGATCTGCTGACTTTTTGTTTGACTGAAATGTCCATGCATAACAGTTAAATTTGGATAGTCCAATAATAATAAATCTCCCAAGGTAAATATCATACCAATCTGACCTGCGAGCCTTTTGATCTACTGACTTTTTGTTTGACTGAAATATCCATGCATAATAGTTAAATTTGGATAGTTCAATAATAATAAATCTCCCAAGGTAAATAAATAAAAATAAATACTGCTGCAAATTATTATTATTTCAAGCAATACTCTTACATTTCTTCTGTATTTTTATATTCAGAGTTTATGCATACCATCTTTCACAAGTCAAAAGCGTAGCTCCTCTCTAATCGAGTTTTTGCATTATTAAGATTAGATATTTCATTGAAATTAAGATTAGTATATTCATAACAAATACTTTTATTATTAGTTTTGAACCCCCTTCCTAGCTATTAAAATATAGCCTTCTTAGAGATTGAAGATTCCGGTAATAATTATATTGATATCTCCCTAGAATTTAGATGTAGATGACTTAATAAATATTTTCATTATTTAGTAAAATAAGTCCAAGTTCAAAGAATGTTTAATCACATAAATAAGAATAATGGCTAAAAAATATTGATTATTAGATCAGATTTAAATTTTTATAGGAAGTTTTCAAAACCCAGTTTTGTAGGGGTTTTCATAAAATTAGACTAGAAGATTCTAATTGAGTTATTTTGTTATTTTTTCTTGATTTTCTTAGATTTTATGTGTTATTTTAGATTTTATATTATTTTTCTTTATATATAGAGATTATGATATCATTAGGTTGATTTTTCTATCATATAAAATACATTGAAAACCTTTTTAACATATTAATATTTTGAAAATAAAATAAAATTATAGAAAATTTTATATTTTAAACCTATTTTATCTCACTTTTTGAAAATAATTTATTAAAAATATATATTAAAAAATAATGTAAATTATATCTTGAAATTTTATTTAATTATTTAAACTTTAAGTTATTATGTTGAAATTATAATATATCGATATTAAATTCTTAATTAAAAGATAAGATTTATGGGGATGAGGAATCTCATTAACTATAAATTCAGTTTTGCATTACTATTTGTCATTTACTTGTCCTTTCCATGGAATTTATTCGCAGGCTTAGGAATGTATTTCAGGCTACCTACTTCATTTCATGAGAGCAAAATTCTTTCTCAAATGGCTACAGACAATGCCCTTTGATATATTCTACTAGCTAGATTTGGCTCGAAGCCTATAACCCACCCAACATTGATCATTGCCTTATTATTTTTGGGCTGGCTAAGATGCCATAGCATTCAATAATTGGAGCATCAGCCTTTGAACACCACCTTCTTGGATTATTTGCAGATCTTCATAAAATCTTTAAATCAATACTGTCTCAAACTAACAGGAGGAATGGAGGTTGCATGTGCTGTGGATTCCCATTTTGTAGGAGATGATATTGGAAATGTTTCCTGTTCCTTTTCTTCTCTCGAGTCTTAATTGCTTAGAGCCCTTTGCTCCATATTTTACTTTATGCTTAATGATTAATCCTTTTCTCTTCTTCGTCAAATGAATTACCAATAATAAATGATCTAATTATGGTATTTAGGTTCCATATCTCAGGTAATTATATGATTAAACTAATCAATTAATCTCTTATTCAACATGACTGTAAAGCAAAAGGCTCATCAATTGAGCAATTTGTGATATCTTGCCAGTGCAGTCAAAAGAAACAGGCGTAGCAGTTGATTTTTCTGATCCTTCCATAGTTTATGACAAGGTGAAATAGGTTCATTTCCTTTCCATCTTGAAATTTTTTTCACACTATCATCAACAATTACTACTAATCATAGGCGTTTTTCTATTTGGTAATTCTCATTAGGCAACAAAATTTAGCATTCAAAGTGTGGTGCATGTGCCTTGGATTAAGATGTTTGGGAATTAGGAGTATGACTTTGGTTTAAAATGTTTTTTTTTTTATAAATATAATAAAATAATAGTTTTTTAGTTTTTTAAAAATTATTTTTAACATCGTATCAAAATAATCTAAAAACATAAAAAAATAATTTTAAACAAAAAAAATATTTTCAAATTTTTAGTAAGCTAGCGACAGTAGGAGCGTTGTCTGCATTCTGTGACAAAGCCAGTATGCTGAGCAGAGGGTGAGCTAGAAACCATATAATTACTGTTGGAATTTGTTGATTGCCAGAATCTTAAGACCAACATTTTTTCTGATTTTTCGAGCAATTATTTCGTACCATGAAGATGCCTGTAGGGTTCTCTGATCGCACCAACTCTGTCCGTTGTTTCTTTACTCCTTCAGCAAGCTGCCATTGCAGCTTCCTTCCATTACAACAACGTCGAAATTGTTGAATCAAGGGCAAATCCAATAGTAAGTGATAGAAAAGAGATGTTGGTGTATTGGTATCAAATCAAGCTACCTATAAACCAAACCTTATGCATTAAGCATTATCTTTTGAATGTCTTTGATACACAGGATTTTCCATCAATGGATGCTATTCAAATTTCAAAGAACCTCTCTAACATGGGTCAAATTTATGAAGATATTGTGCTAAGTTTTTCCTCATCAATTATGAAGGATTAAGAATTTAAACCTTTCATATTTTGAAGAATTGACAAGATGCCACTTCGTATAAATTCTGATACTGTAAGGCAAGAGGTCAAGTTCTAGGAGAAGATGGGGGTAGGGTACACGGCATGGCCCTGCCAGGGCTTCCCTATAGTACGGCCATTTACTTCTCTGGCCCGGGAGTGGTATGATTTCTGCTTCAATTTTCCCATTTTCTGTAATCTGTAAAGAAGGAATCCAACCGTTGTTCTGATGCCCTCAGGTTTACTCTATTAAACACGATATCACTGATGTGAAGTGCCTCAAGCCTGGCCTAATCCTAGCTATTAGAAAGGTCATCCGACTGAAGGTCAACCAATCCAATAATATTCAATCCTTTCTTTTGAGAAATTATTACATGGTCCTCTATATAGACCGAAACAATCTGGTCGAATGGCTCTTCCAATGCCGTTGTTATGACTCAGCTTTTTGCCTCAGCCCATATCAAAGTACAGCCATTAATCTATGTCGTTGTTATCATGGAATAATCTAGTGTATGGCTTGGAGAAACTCTTGTAAGCAGCCAACATCTATCCCTGGCTTCTGCACCCTCCTTTGGCATAGCTTACAGATAAGATAAAGAAACATGTCATCATGTGGGAAACATGAATATTCCACCTCGCTATCGACAATAATCAAAACACTAGCCAATAAAAAATATATATAGTAGTAAGGAAGCTTTATCTGGAAAACAAACAACAAAAAAAGGGAAGAATAGTGGTTCAAAATTCTACAAGATTCCATGAAAAATTAAAGTCTAAATTGGAGCTCAAAAGCAACTGACAATGGTGGTGCTCCTCTTATGGGGTCAGAAACACAAAGCCTTGTAAATTGCGAAACCCAGAATCCCGAAACAGAGTCCTCTTCTTTTCAATGCACTTCTATCCAGCTAGGTTTGTTTGAAGAGACCAAACCAACTTGCGTACTTGCAAGAACCTAAATAAATTTAATGTTCTGGGTGGTTGGATTAGGTGGTAAGGAGAAAACTTATATAGTCTGAAAGTTTCAAGTTTCATTCCCGCTACTAATTTTTTATTTTAAATAGTATATGTATGCCTGGTTAATCGAAGATATTTAAGTTTTTTTCTTAACGTATATGCATAAATGTTTTGTGTGTCCGGGGGCCGTCCAAACACCTGTTTCTTTATTTTTCTCTTAAGAAAAAAGAATTAGTAACCAATAAATGGAAAATATGACCTGTAAATACTGTTGTGATTCATGCCAATTGGATACATGCAAATTTCCTTAAAAATTCCGTCCCTTTCCTCTTTTTGTTCCAACAATGTTGACATTTTGTTGGTGTATTTAAGTTGACCTTGGAGAACGCAACATGGGATTTTCTCTCCACAAAGTAAAACCCGACCGAGGCCTACTAGTTTGTTTTCCAATCCAGCCTATGTGATGGTGAAGTAACCAAAGAGGCTAAAGACAGGATTTAAATATATTTTACTTTGCTTAGTAAAAAGAGGTGACGATAATCGCAAACAAGGACTTAGTTGAGGTGATTAGATCCAATAATTTGAATATAATAAGGACCTGCTAATCACATGATTTCACATTGCAACATACGGTTCTGAAACTTAGCTCCATGGCCAAGTTGTTGCACCTCTCTATTTTCTTTCTTGCGGCATTGGTGCTGCAATGCCATTGCACTGAAGACGACAGGAAGGTGAAAATCCTATCTTATTGCAGTTTAACACGAGTCAAGCTTTGATTTATAGGTTTACATTCTTGATGGAGATTATAATGCATTATGATTTATGTGTGCAGTCTCATGTTGTGTACATGGGAGATCGTCCCAAGGATGCTGCATCAGTCGCGTCGACGCACCACAATATGCTAGCAGAAGTACTTGGCAGGTTAGTTATCATCATAGCGGATTAAGTTCTGAAGATATTGCGCGTGTGGAATTGAAACAAAGATTAAAGTTTAATGAGGTTGATTTTATCACATGCAGTTCATCGGAGGCTAGAGAATCACTAATTTATAGTTACGGGAAGAGTTTCAATGGATTTGTAGCCAAACTATCAGACAAAGAAGTTGCCAGGATCAAAGGTAATCATGTCTTAATGTTACAGGTCATGTTTGCATTTCATACTCATGTTTCTGAATTTGTGTCACAGAAATGGAGGGAGTGGTTTCAGTGTTCCCTAATGCCCAACTGCAAGTGCACACTACAAGATCATGGGATTTCATGGGCCTCCCTGAATCTCATCCCAGGTTGTCTGCTGAAGGAGATGTTATTGTTGGGTTGCTAGATACAGGTATGTTATTGTTGGGTTGCTAGATACAGGTGACTCGTCAAACGCAGAATGAAACAGAAAAGTCCCTTAAAAATCCTAAAATTCAGCTTTAGTGAAAAATGGATCCGTTTCGGTGATTTTTGCAGGAGTTTGGCCTGAAAACCCAAGTTTCAGTGATGAAGGCTTTGATCCACCACCAGCAAAATGGAAGGGTATCTGCCAGGGTGCAAACAATTTCACCTGCAACAAGTATAATCTGTCTTCCATTTTCTTTCTGTACTAATGTTTAATAGGTCCGATGCTGAAAAGCGTTCCTTGAATTCACAGAAAGGTCATTGGAGCCCGTTTCTATGATCTGGAGAATATCTTTGATCCTAGGCATGATATCAAATCCCCGAGGGACACGTTAGGACATGGAAGCCACACTGCTTCAACTGCAGCAGGGATAGCTACGAATGCAAGCTACTTCGGATTAGCTGGAGGTGTGGCTAGAGGAGGAGTTCCGAATGCAAGAGGATTTCCGAATGATATGGCTAGAGGAGGAGTTCCGAATGCAAGAATTGCTGTCTACAAAGTATGTTGGGCAAGTGGCTGTACCTCTGCGGATATCTTAGCAGCTTTTGAAGATGCAATAGCAGATGGGGTGGACCTTCTATCTGTTTCGCTAGGGAGTGATTTCCCAGCTCCGTATCACGAAGATGCAATTGCCATTGGAACTTTCCATGCCATGAAAAATGGAATTTTAACTTCCTGTTCTGCAGGAAACAGTGGACCAAACAGGAGACAAGTCTCAAACTATGCACCTTGGCACTAACTGTAGCTGCAAGCACCATTGACAGGAGTTTTTCCACTAAAGTCGTGCTCGGAAACGGACAGATCTTCCTTGTAAGCGTTGCTTGGCCCCATTTCAGATACATTAAATTCAACCTGTACTGCCATTTTTTTTTCCTTTCGTAATTCAAACAGAAGCTTCTTTACGATATTAAATTCTTTCCTTCAACTCGTATTTGTAAAATTCAAGGGAAATTCGCTCAACATCTTCGATCTCCACGGAAAAACATTCCCATTGATCTATTCTGGGGACTCCGCAAACTATACTGCTGGAGCTGATCCTGAATTAGCAGCATGGTGCTTTCCCGGAACTCTAGCCCCTCTAATAACCAAAGGAGGAGTGGTCATGTGCGATATTCCTAACGCACTTGCCTTAGTGCAAGGGTCAGCGGGTGTTATAATGCCCGTGTCCATAGATGAATCTATACCTTTTCCCTTCCCTCTTTCTCTGATCAGTCCTGAGGACTACTCTCAGCTTCTGGACTACATGAGATCCACACAGTAAGTCACTAAAAATCTACAGTACCTTGAAATGTAATTGTACTAAACTGGTTTGTGTCAGGAATTTACGGATTCTTATCGAGTTTTTATTCCTTTTCCTAGGACTCCTACAGCAACCATTTTGATGACTGAGCCAGTGAAGGATGTGATGGCTCCCACAGTAGTCTCTTTCTCATCAAGAGGTCCAAGCCCCATTACTCCTGATATCCTCAAGGTATCTATTATTTCTTCAGTCTCTCACTAAAGAAAATATTTCAACAATGAAACACTAACTCTGGCTGTTTCCGGTGTTGAGAATGGAACTTTTCTGCTGAACAAAACACTGAGAATTTTACCTTTGTTTTCCATCGATGTAGAGATAGCTCCTCAACACAATAATGGTCACTTAATTCTGATTATTTTGCAATGGTACTCCTTGAGAAGCTGTCTAACTTAAGCATCTTGGTTCCTGAATGCAAAAACAGCCTGACCTTACTGCCCCTGGTCTGAACATCCTTGCTGCCTGGTCTCCCCTAGGAGGTGCTTCGATATCCCCTTGGGATGATAGGACAGTAGACTACTTTGTAATCTCTGGTACATCCATGTCTTGCCCACATGTTACTGGTGTTGCAGCATTTGTTAAAGCAGCTCACCCATCATGGTCTCCCGCTGCTATCAAGTCTGCCCTCATGACCACAGGTAAACGAAAACTGACACTGAAAACAGTATAAAGAATTGGTGTTACCATATCCTGCGCGCGCGGTGTATTTGTCAGTAGGAACCTCTCATCTGAATTTTTATTTTTTATAGCTACAATTATGGATTCAAGGAAGAATGAAGATGCCGAATTTGCCTACGGATCTGGACAGATTGATCCATTAAAGGCACTAAACCCGGGGCTAATCTATAATGCAAGTGAAGCAGATTATGTCAATTTCCTCTGCAAGGAGGGTTACAACACTACCCTTGTAAGAATAATCAGTGGAGACAATAGCACTTGCCCAAGCAACGAACTAGGCAAAGCATGGGATCTTAACTACCCAACATTTGCTCTCTCATTGTTAGATGGAGAGACTGTCATGGCTACATTCCCAAGAACTGTCACCAATGTGGGCACTCCAAACAGCACTTACTATGCAAAGGTTTCAATGCCATCCCAATTCACTGTTACAGTACAACCATCAGTTCTTTCCTTCTCACAGGTTGGAGAGGAGAAATCATTCACTGTTAAGATCACAGGAGCACCTATAGTTAACACCCCTATCGTCTCGCGTTCACTAGAATGGACAAACGGGGAATATGTAGTTAGGAGTCCAATTGCTGTTTTCAACAACATGCCTTCAATTTTTTCATCCATTGATGAGCAGCCACAATCAAAACCCAAGTTTAAAGGTCCATGGGAGGGTTCCACTTCCACCATCTATCACAAGAAGGGCACCTTTAAGAGCATACAGAGATCAGATCGTACTGATGGCTTCGGCTTGGTATCCAATAACAGGTTGGGTTATCACAAGCACTAAGGAATCCGAATTGCCTTGTTATTCATTCAAAGAACGCATCATTATTCACTGAGACTTTCCCTCATGAAAAATGGTTTTGTCACCACAATAATACAAAGCTAATCCTCAAGAAGCGGGTATAAATCCATCTGTGCGAGGGTTCTCTATGGATCTCCATCAATAAAGCTTGCATCTCTTTGAATACAAGTTTTCTAAGCTGTGAAATGTGTTGCATGGTTATGGTATTATTTCACTAGCTTTCTTGTTTTACTCAACAATTCAAAAGAAGTTTTAGCCAGCTATCATGCTCTCCAGAAGAAAAGGCATGGCATAATTTTTAACGAATCACATATCCTACTAAATTGGATGCAATATGCGCAACTGGCTAAGTTACATTCATCCACAAGCAGTTTTGCACTTAAAAGAATCTCACTTCCATTGACATACAGAGAAGCCCAGCAAATGTTCAGTTGAAGTCAATTACTCTAGATTAGACAATGCTTCAATCTCAGGTTTGAAGTTTTAGCTAGGTAACTATCACCCTGTCAATACTAAGAGATATTTTTGATGCATGGACAAGATATTCAAATCACAACCCAGTAATGACAAATCGCCAACAGACTGCCTTTCAGAAAAGAAGAAGGCAAAGTCAACAGACTAATGTGCATTCTACAACACCATTGTTCAGCAGCAGCATACAGAAAGAACAATGGAATCCTGGCATTACAAGAGCTACACCCACGCCGGCTCATTTTACATGTTGAGTTACCTCCACAATACAAAAATTGGGTTTGTCTAAGAAGAATAGTAAATTACAACAAGATGTGCCAAAATTCCAAATGTAATCCCCAGATGAACCCAAGAAAAATTAAAAATATTACAAGTCGGGATCCTGTTTTAACACAGGAAAATACAAGACAGTATAAGTTGAGGGACCTAAAGTGAAAAGCTTACAGAGATTGCTTGATATAAAAAAGATCCTAGAGATTCAAGCAAAACACGCATCAGTACGGAAAATGTATTTCACACCCTTGGTAACATTCCGAGCTTCATGCAGCATACAATTGTCCCCATGAATATGTAGGAGAACCATCCCTTCAGCAGGAGCCACCTACAGAGTACAGATGGGAACAATAAGAATCAAGACAGTGTACATTTGATTAAATAAAAACTTAGACTCGTTCATAAGGCAAAGAATAATAAAAAAGATTGTTGAAGAAACACAGATGAAAGGCACAAGAGGGGAAAAACAGATTTATAAAGATAAAATGAAGGAAATTTACATCAACCAAAACACTATTCCTTGAGCCATAGAAGACAGTTCTCCTCCAACTAGAGGCTCTGAGGAAGAATCCAACTGGCTGTTTGGAGCAGTTTTAGTTTTGGCTTTATTCGCAACACTTAAATATATTAAAAGAGTCGCACTTCCCATCACCTAGATTAACACTTCCATCAACATGTCATCCAAAGTGCGGACCAAACTTTTACCTGAAAAAGTAGCATGAAATCCCAAAGTAAACAGGCAGAACAAAGACTTTATCTTTACTTCTTATAAAGCAATCAAAGTACAATAGAAGCATGCAGGCAATACAGATATTTCTACGCATAAAACTCAACTGGACAGCAACTAAACTCAATTAATTTTTAATTCTAAACTAGCAGGCTCATCATGTGAATGATAATCTTCCGTAAGACAATAAAGTTACAGCATTTTTATGGATTGCTTGCAACTCATTAATTAGCCGCACATACAAAGTGATATTCCGTGAACAAATTCATAGCTCATAAAAGTTTTATAAACTAGCTGGCAATGCGCAACAATATATATATATATGAAATAGCATAGGAACTACATATATCTCTATAAGATATGAAAAGTGTGAGGAAATAGAACTCAATAAACCTGTAGAATCTGATATCAGAAAATAATTTGCTAAGTCCTGACTCCATAACATATTTGCAAGAAAAGGATCATTATAAGCTTCACCATGTGTTGGACCAAGACTCTCTCGGTGAACAAAGCCAATAGATTCTGCGACTTTAACAAATGCCTTTAATTCAGCAGAAGAGAAGAAATCTTGCACCTGAATTTACTACACGAATTATAACTATTTCAATAATAAAATGGCCAAAAAATGCAAGAAAGAAAAATTGCTTCTACAAGCATATCCAGGACTTACCCTTCACGCCAGGATCAAATAATTCAAATATTCCTCACTTCATACAGCTGAACAAAGATGAACAAAGATTTGTTATTTTTAACGAACACTGCAGATATCCAGTCCAGGCATGTGCTTCAGATAGAGACTATATTTGCTTACGGATTTTTCCTCTTTTCTCGAAATTTTCATGACATAACTCTTACCTTGTAATTTCAATTCACATCAAACCTGTTCTTCGAGAGACCCAAAATCTATTACTTCTGATTGCACATCACCATGCAACCCAAGGGGAAACCTTAATTAATCGCTCTAAAGGAAACTATGGACACCAAACAACGTACTTTTCGAGCTCAGCTAGTCAACCTAACATCATATCCAAGCTTTTAAAACAACTAATAGACACAAGTCCAAACTAAGATTATTAATCATATGATCATTAAACAATCTTAAACCCCACACAACTCATCTCAAAAATGAAGAAAATGGCTCTCAATTCTCAAAACCAGCTTCATATTTAATCCCTTCAACACAATCAAAGCTCAAAGATTTAAACTTTAACTCAGCCCCCTCTTGCTCATATCCCTTTCAATTTCACCCCTTTACAGTCAATTACCTACCCCAACTACAAGAACCCATGTCAAAAAACCACTCAAAGAACAGAATTTTAAACAAAAAAATCATTCAAACACTTAAAAACCCAAATTGGGCATGATTGCAATTACTAAATCTTGACCGTAAATAACAGAAATTTGTCCAAAAGAAACGATAAAACTTACAGTAAAGAGATCGTTCGCTTTGAGACGAGTAATTTGGAGATTCTTCTTGTTTTTCATGAGAGACCACTTCGACTTTGATGATGTTTTGTTTTCTGCTTCTGTTCTATCTCCCATCTTTGCCTATATTGTATTCTTCCAGTTTTCTCTGTTTCTGCCATTGAAGTGCAGCTCTAGTTTCATGTACTTCATTTGTGTTTCTATTTTGGGCTAAATCTTCATCAAAATGGATCTGTATTGGGCCACTTCTGGTTTTGAATATCCAATCACCAAGCCCACAAGAAGAATATTTTCCTTTTCCTTTTCCTTTTTTTTTTAACTATACAGAATAATTCAATTTCTATTTTTCTCTTTTAACCTTTTATCAGAACCATCTTATCAGTAGTTGATATTATCTAGAAAAATCATTCTATTTTTATGGTAGAGTTTTTTTTAATTGACAGCAGAGATATCCTTAAACTCTAGCTGGTGTTAATCAAAATTAAATATCATCCTTGGATGATCTTACAAGTACCTCCGATTTGTTGTGTTAAGAAAAAAAAAAACTAGTAAAATATTCTAGATACTAATTCTAAAGTTTGAACCCAAAACTTTAATGAAGAAAGATATCTCAGCGAAGTGTTTAGGAATGTGGTATAAACTGTATTTTTAAATTTTTTAATTTTTTTAGCTAAAAATATTTTTTTTATTTTTAGATTATTTTGATATATTAATTGTTAAAAATAATTTTTAAAAAATAAAAAAACTTCATTATGATGCATTTCTAAGTAAAAAAATATTTTGAACCGCTACAGTTACTATAATTTCAAATAATCCCTAGATCAATCACCCTTCATACCAAAATATTTATGAAAGATAAATACAACATAAATAATCTGTGCCATGCGAGGGGTTGGGCTAATTCTTTGTCAATATAAAAAAAATGTTCATGCATATAAATGTTTTAAAATAAATAAGAAAATTTATGAATTTGGTAATTGAAAGAAGTTATACGGGCTATCAGATGACTAAAACAAAAACAAAAAAAAAACACTATGAACCAAGCATTTCATGCTTACTCTCACAAAATTAATTTAATTTAAGTAAAAAATAAAGTTTATTTTTAAAAAGCTAGATTCAACAAAGTTTGAAAAAACAATCTAAGTTAACTATTGTTACTTTCAAAACCATAAAAAAAAAAATCTAATAGAAAGAAAATAAAAAAAATTGATGGAAAAAACAACAAAAAAATGAACCTAAAAAAAAGAAGGAAAAAAAAGAGGCAAGTTTAAGTGAACTTTATAAATTCAGGTTAATCTCTTAAACTCGTAGCCTGTAAAATTATATACTTAGGCTAAATTAAGAAACTTAACACCCATCAAATTAAATGTTATAGGATAAAATAAATAAATTTAATTTGATTGATAAAAAAATAATTTTTTTTTAAAAAGCTAAATTTAACAAATACAAAAAAAAAACCCCAAGGCAATCCTTGTTATTTTTAAAAGAAAGATAAACCTGAGATCGCAAAAAATAAAAAAATAATAAAGGAAAAAAATTCAAGCAAGCTCGAATGAACTTTTTAAATTTAGGTTAAACTTTCAAAATCACAATTCAATAAATTATCGACCCGGGATCAACCCAAAAGCTCAACACTTGAAGAATTAAATGTTGGCGGATGAAGTCATATAATTTAATTTTTTTTAAAAATCCTTTAAAAAAACTAAATTTAACAAAGATAAAAAAAACAATATATAGAAAGGTGACCTATATTATCTTCAAAACAACTAAAAAATCCCATAAAATGACTCAAAAATTTCATATATACTGAATAAAAAATAACAAAATGTTGTAGAATGAAAGAATGCTTTAAAAGGGAAAGGAAAAAAAAAACAAGGAAGACCATGTTAACTTCATAAATCAGGTTTAATTTTTAAAAATACTCAATTAAAAAACTAAACATTTGATCATTTAAATATTAAATGAAAAAATAAAAAAATTAATCTAAAAAACCCTTACAAGTTAAAAAGAAGAAGAAGCAATAAAGAAAATGATTAGATTTGATCGGAAACGAAAACTTAAGAAGGATAAAATTATAAAAATAATA